ATGCATATCTTTGACCTATGCAGGATTTCTTCCTGCGGTAGAGATTCGTCAATGCAACATAGATGATGTTCAGCCATTCAACATTATTATTGTTCTTTCTTATTTGAATAAGAGGGGAGGAAGCAGGATTCGGAATGACCTTTTTTTCTCTCTCTCCCCTCATGTTTAAACATTTCTTTTTGCAATTGGACGCCATTGAACTTTCTTCCGAGTGAACACTCTGAAATTAGTCAAGGCCGCAATACAGAACAGACAGACAGACAGAGGGTGAGAAAGTGAGAAGCACGTGCACACGTGGAAGAGGGAGAAGAGGGGTTGATGCTAACAAACCCAACATATAAATTACAGGTCACTGGATGAAAGAATGTACAGCCAGAGAAAGGAAACAGCAAACACACTTAGTGTACACTCATATACGGATACTGTGATGGTTTGCGCACAAGTCCACAACAACAGAACAGACAGACAATGAGACCTCCACTAAACCCGTGGCAAGAAAAGCAACGACAACAACCCCTAATTCAACGAGTGGCGTACTTGTACCCAACTTCTGTAGATGTACAACGCACCACGCACATACAGACATACACAACCGTCCAAATGACAAACATCTACGAGCGCATTTTGGTAAAGATCCAAAGTACATGCATTCACATGGAAACCTAGAGTAAGTGGACCGAAGGCTAGGACACACATTAGATAGACCTCCGGGTGCCAATAAGTCTGTAGAAGGGCGGAAACGGAAAACAACTACAAGGCCGAAAGACCCGGGACTACGAAAGTAGAGACAACTGGCAACAGGTTCCGCCGTTGGAGCCCACCGAAATACCGATCATTCGGAAAGAAAGAAAAAAAGAAAGACTTGAAGAATGGAAGAAGAACAAAATGAGAATTGAAAAAAACAAAAACAAAAACAAAGTAAGAAAGAAAGAAAGGAGAACAAGAAAAAAACAAAAATATATGGGATTCACTACTGCGGGCCAAAATCAGCTCCAGAGTCGTCCTTCAATACCTTCATGTCCCCCACTAGTGAACCTGATCTCTCTCTCTCTCTCTCTCTCTCTCTCTCTCTCTCTCTCTCTCTCTCTCTCTCTCTCTCTCTCTCTCTCCATCCACCTATTCAACGCACCTAACACCACGAAGAATTTCACGGAGTCCACGATTTGACAGGACAATCGTTATGCAGCACACACAGTAGAATTATGAAGCTGTTTTTTTTTTCGCGGACCCCCCCTTACGTGGCACTGCTTTCCTCTTCTTCGCCCCTACTTTGCTGCCATCCCTTTTCGCCTGTCTGGCGTTCATCTGTTCCTCTCTCTCCTCAGCTCTCGCCCTCTCGTCCAACATACCTTGATATTTCTCAACCCAACGAGGCTTCGACAACCTATCCACCAGTCTCATGTCCCTGACCTGGATCGTCACCTTCTTCGAATGGATGGCCACCTCGTTGGTGTTCTCGAAATTGGCGACCAGGTACGCCTCGGCAGCCTCTATCAAAGCACGCACCGCCGTCATCTGAAACCTCACGTCCATACCCAGAGCAATGTCCCGCTCCACAACCTCGCGCACGAGACGCAAAAACGACCTGAAAGCCAAGCAAAGGTCGGTGGATCGTTGCAACTTTCTAATTTCCGACAAGTTGTCATCCCGGGGCATCGACGGCGTCTGGGGACCAGAGTTCGTGCACCTGCGGTGTCTCCGGTCCCTGGCACCGCCTTCGGGTTCACCTTCTTTCTGCTTGCGGGCGTCTGCCCACGTGGCGGTCCCGGCGTGCACTTCTTCTTCTTCCCCGGGCTCTGCGACATCGCGACATCACTCGGCCCGCCCATGTCACCCTGTGCTGCAGAGCACCCCCCGACGCGACCAGGACCACATGGGCCCTCCACCTCAGCAGACAAACGGGA